ATCAATTTTCTAAAAAATTATAAAAAAATAAATCATTATAAAACATACGGAATTTTGATATAGAATCATTAATTACGCATACAAACCTTATAAAAAACATATCATTTCCTTATTTCAATTTCTTATAGGGTATACTAACTTGTGACAGAACCTATAATACTTTTGATATGCTCTTTGAGATTATTAGGTTATTTTATTTATTTCTTTATTAGTGTGTCACAAGTGTCATAAGTAAAAAAGTAATAAAATTCTAGGAAAAAAACTGAAATTTTTCTATGATACTCTAATGGTGTATATGTATCATGATATAGTATATGTATAATATTTATGTGGCATATATATACTATAAAAAACTGAAAATTTTCTATGATACCCTAATGGTGTATATGTATCATGATATAGTGTATGTTGTATGTATGATATTTATGTGGCGTATATATACTATAAAAAATAAAAAAAAGTGAAATGATTCAGATTTTTCCTGTGACGTCTGTGACACCTGTGCTACCCTTCAAGAAAACTTTCTTTTATTCTATAATTCCTAAAGAGTCTATCATTTATGTCACAAGTTCTGTCACAAGTTTTTTTTCTTTGTGATATAATCCCAGAGGGATCCACTAGTGGTAAGTTGTATTATTTTACATCATTTTTATTTACCTCTAAATTACCTACAGCTATCTGTATTGAAGCCAAATCAGCCAGCTTTTTCTAATGATATTGTTCCCTTTTACAATGCTTTCTAGTATGAATATTGCAAAATCCATATCTGTCATAAGTTAATTTATTGCATTCATATTCATTGCAAAGTACCTGAGAAGGAGAATTACAATAAATATGACATCCTTTCGAATGGTAGCATTTCTAATTGCAAATCTCACCACTCCTGTGAATATAAGTACGTCAATAAAATACCATTTTTAATAATTAAGAATAGTTGGTTTATCGGAATTAATTTTCATTTTAAACTTTTTTCTCCTGAAGTATATAGTTTCTCTCAAACTGTATATTTGTGATATAGCATCATGACCCATTCTGAGCTTTCAGAGTTCCTCAATGTCCCCACCCCACTTTTTCACCTAGAGGCTGAAAAGATAAAATGGAAGGCCAACTGATTCGCTATTCTGGTGAAAAAAACTTGTCGGACATTCAAATTCTGAATGATATAATTGCAGGAAATGTTGAGAAATTATTTTCAATCCTCGAAGATGCTTTATCTAAATGACAAGATATTTCATTCATAGTCATTGAGAATAAAGGATCAACAGAAAGGATAAATGAAATGTATCGCTATATATTACGTCTTTATGGTTGCCTATTAATGGCCAAAAAACACTGGTAACTCTTATAAACATTCAAGTTTTTTTTGACATTCTCGTATCAGATGGAGAGACTCCAAATGAATGTAAAGAAAATTGAACAAAATTCTCTTTAGCATTGTGAAATCATTTAAAATAGAGCATATTAAAGCTTTCCCTTTTTGGGGTTATCATACTGAAAAAAAGTCATATTCACAAATTTATACGAATAGTACTGGAGAGAGAAAGAAAACCATTCAAGCTATTCAAGAAAATAATTTCGAAACTGCTTCAGACGATTTATACTCATTCCACTAAAAGGTAGCTTAAGAAAATGGAATCCAACTCTGTGAGTGGTCTATAATAAACAAATATATATGTAAGAAAAGTAAGCAGACTAGCCCACTTTGTCTGCACGAATTCTACGTATCTATAAAAGCTTTCTATTCACTAGAAGATCTTACAAAAATAAGTGACCGATTCTCCATTTCAGCTCTCTTACGGAATCATACAATTGTCTCACTTAGGATATAGAGACCCAATCACGAGTGGTAGGCAAATTTGCTGAAATCCTTGATTTGAATTATAATGTTATTATGATTGGCATGATATTGCATTGGAAAGATGATCCAAAACTATACATAAAGTCGAAATGAAAACCCAAAAGTCGAAATGTTTCGACTTTGGAGGTCAAAGTCGAAATGAAAAGTCGAAATAGTCGAAATTACGTTATATCACATGATTTTTTATATA